TAAAGGAGAAGAATAAAAATAATGTGCTAAAAACACCTTTATCATAAATAATTTAACACAAAAGCCAAATAATAGCATAGCTATCAAACTCATACCCAAAAATGATATCCATATCAATCTCACTTCTTAATATTTTGCTTTCCTAATTTGCTTTTGTTTTTCTACATCTAGAAAAACATCAGTGTTGTTACTTTTCAGTGTCAGAACCCAAATGTTGCTATTAGAGTGATTTTCTGCTGCAACTGGAGCGGAGTCATTAAGTTTTGCTTTTATTATTACTTTTCTTAACTATGCTTTCTAATTTGTGCAACTTAAGACCTTTTAATGTGTTGTCGAGCTGAAATTATGGAGTGAGAAACACGCATCCTCATAGTTACATAATCTCCTGGTGTGCCACTGGACTAATTAGCTTCCAAAAATGTCAGTGTCCTATGTCATAAACCAGGGATAACAATGCATAGTTCATTCTGCTATTATGAGAATCAATTAAGATAATGTATTGCAAAACACAGAGTTTTATGTATAGTAAATAAAATGCAGGGTATTTTTTTCTTATCTTTGATTCTCATTTCTCCTTTATGACTCTCTTTGGGTGTAAACATGCTTTTCTTTCTTTTTTTTATTGTTGTGATGGAAGCTTTTCTAGGATTCTCTATTTTTAGAATACTATTCTTATGATCTAATGTCACCATGACGATGGTCTGATACAAAAAAATTTTCTCACTTATGGTTGTAATTTCTTTTTTATCACTAATAATAATAATATGAAGATTTCTAGTCTTTAAATTTAAACATAAGACTTAACTGTTTTCTGCTGTCCACAGTAGAATTATGAAATGTTTAAAAATGTGAAAAAAATAAAAAAATAAATTTGTGGCCAAAAAACAACAACAGAAAAGGCAAAGAAATGAAATTCAACTTCAAGAAAGGTGTTTCTTACAATAACAGAAGTTAATGGAAGTTGAAGAATTGGATACATTAAACAACACACATACATACACACATGGATATATTCAGATATGTGTCAAGAAAAATGACCAAGATATTAAAATTTTTCTTAATAAGAGAGCTTATTTATTAGATAAATAGTATATTGCCCTGCAATAGAAATAGAAAATTAAATGCACTTTATAGATACTAAAAAGTAGTTCTTTTATTATTTCAATGGTGACTACTTCTCTGAAAGATACTTCAAGAAAATTTAAACTAATAAATATTTGCCAAATTAAATATTTGTCAGTGCCAGAGGTAAATCTTTTTAAAGAAGAAATGCAAATGCTTTTATACCAGCCAATCAGTCAGTATCCTTGGCTTCTTCTCCCCCAAAGATATTTTTATTACTGTCTTTACTATATATTTTGCTGCTTCTAAGATAATCCTTATAATTAAGGAGATGTCACAGATTTCAAAAGTGAACTGAGCTAATTAAGCTCCTTATTTATTTTTTTCTTTGTTATACAACTTTCACAAAGAATACTTCTTGAATAAAGTTTTGATGATGAGTGACTAGGTTAAATCAAATTAATGTCACAGGTTTTTCCCTAGCTAATTTCTATGGTTTGAATGGGCCTCCCAAAATTCATGTTCTCAAAATTTAATCTCCAATGAAAGAAGGCTGACAGGAGACAAGGAAGTCCCTGGTGGACAGATTAGTTCCCTCTCACAAGGCTTGCCAGAGAGGACTTTCATCCCCCTATGCCAGGTGAGGAAGCGCATCCCTTGTCTCTAGAGGATGCCGAATCAAAGTAGCATCTTGAAACCAAAGACTAAAAAAAAGAAAAAAGAAAGAAACCAAAGACTGAGCCTGACTCTTGGACTTCCCAGGTTCCAGAAATGTGAAAAATAAATTTCTGTTTTCATAAGTAGCCCAGTCTGTGGTATTCTGGTATTGGAGCACTAGAGACAAGAACCAAAGAAAACAGGCAAACTTTCTGAACTTACATTCAGGGCAGGGGGGCAGAAAAATATAAATAACAAACCAGAGAATGTATATTTGTACATGTGTTGGGAAATGTTTTCAGGGTTAAAATGTCAACCAGTTGAGTGATATATTACTAGATAAGGTAGTAAGGTCTTTGTGAAGAAGTGATATTTAAGCCAACATGAATGAAATGAATGAAAGATCCAAGTGAATGTCAAATCTTAATTTGAAGTAATGATTCTTAAAACTAAACATAAATATGAATGTGTTCAGCTATAGAATGAAATTATATTTATAATTTTTTTATCTTTACAGGTTTCTTTTTTCATAAAGTTTTCCCTAGCAAAAAAGTTTGGCAAAATATCATTGAACTTCCTGCATATCTCATTTACAACTGTAGTGATGTAAATGTTTTTATATATTTGACAATCCCTATGACTGTATTTTAAACAGAGTAAATGCTAAAAAGAAAAGTTGGAAGGAAAAGAAAATTACTCTAAATTGCAGACATTTTTGAAGGGATACTGTATCATGATTCTGTTTATGTGTTTATACCATTTACATAAAACACATGTCAAACATAAAAAATATATGATGTTACACACACATTTCCATGAACATAATGAAAATGAAATTTAGTTGTACAGAAAAAGGCATACGATGTGCTTTTATATCCATAGAAGCAAAACCAAGTTTTTAAAAAATAAATATGGAGGAGAAATCAGATCGTTCTGAATAAATACTTAAAAGTTTTTAACAAAATGTTGGAAAGGAGAGTGTAAATAATACAAACTACTTACAACCATCTTGTTTAGAGAAACCCAACAGTCTTGTGGGAAATCCTGCAGGAGAGGAACTAAGAACTGCAGACATCCATCCCAGTGGCATAGGAGCAGCATCATGCCGATGAGATTAAAAATTCTCACGACCGCACTGGCGAGATCATAGGTCATGTGGAATATCTGTTGACCAAAGCATAAAGTCAACTCTCTAAAAGTCAATTTAGCAAAAAAAAAAAAAAAAACAAAGCATACATGAATACCACTGATGTTGCATAGTTTAAGTAATACAGTAATTTAAATACGGAAAGAACCTTCAGATATAGAAACAGAGAGTATGTCTCTACTTTCCCAATAAGGTTGGACTCCGCTATATGTATTTTATAACCAAATGTGACTTTTGACAAGAAACAGAGATAACACAAAATGTAAGTTTTAAATAACATTAACTTGACAGGTAGTTTTTATTTACTGTATTTCCAGACATTTTACCAAGACTGGTTTAAAAACAAGGTAACAAATTTGACAAATGATAATCTCTTTTCTGCCTCTCGTCTCTTATTAATTAGCTTTTCCAAGGAGAAAGAAAATATTTCAAGGATACCTGAAAACTGAAAACTATAAGCAAAATGATTTTGATTACAAAGTGTAAGTAAGATTGAAAATGAACAACAGTTAACACTACAGCTATTGAATGGAAATACCTCTTAATTGTGTATACTGAACATGTGTAGTGACCTTTAAGATGAAATCTAACTGGACTTGCTTATAAAACAACTGTGATATTTTCAAAAGAATTTGATGTAGAAGTGTCTACATCAAATTTGTATGCTTTTATAATATAGGCTTCTATTTCCTGTTTTACTTTCTTATGTATATTTTCACGAAAAGTAATATGGTAGGGGACATTATTTCAGAAAGTAGAAAAATGATGAAAAAATTCTCCACCAAAATTTTAAAAGCAGACACATACACCCAGATTTACATATGTAACTACTCATTATTTTACTTACAAGGAACACAATCAGAATGTGCTTTTTATTTCTAGCAATTAATAGATCCCACCTACCATGAATATTTCACCTAGTCTACAATAAAAAAATGCACTTAGAGAAGACCCACATTCTACAATAAAGTTTTCATCAAGCCGTTAAAACATTAATATGTTGAGACGCTGAATCAGCAAGCTGGAGACAGGCAGTTCTGTGCACGCCCTACTGAGGTACCCAGTCATACAGAAGATGCCGAATCACCCTGCTGCAAACAGGCAGCCACCTGGTTCCACACTACAAAGACACAGAGGACACCAGACCACCAGACCAAGGTACTGAGTCCTGCTGCTCCTAGCCCAGAGGTAGGGGCTTCTGAGCCTCCATCCCACTGCTCCTGGTCCAGAGGAAGGGGCTTCC